GCATGAAGTGGTCATCAAATTTTTCCAAAAAACTGGTTACCGGTGAGTTTCCATCAAAGGTTGCTGCTGGTTTCATCGATGCGCGCATGGTCTGGACGATGTAACCAAATCCTTCCAGGGCGGCAGCAAGCATTCTGGATTCTGAGCCGCTGCTGCATTCACCTCAGGTTCTTCTTGAAACTCGGCCATGGTTATTCTTTTTCGGGCTTCACTATCAGGACTTGTATTCCTCTTGATTTGCTTTGGGAACATGAATGGTCCTGAATAAGAACAGGGAGCTTACTCAAGCTATGATCAGGAAGGTGTGAAATAGACAACACAAGCAGGAAGGGTATACGAAACCCTTTATTTTCTATCCTTACAGGTATTCCCGAACTTCGGGATACAGAGACCAACCACTTGTGGTCTGAACGTAAGAATATAAAAACTACTAACTCTAACTAAAAACTAACTTTGAATTAGTATACAAGTGCCTAGCACTAAGATTGGCCTTTATTTAAAGAAAGGTACGTATGTAGTACACCGAGCTGCTAAAACTAAGATATGTCTGCAGTTATCAAAAGGGCTAAACCTCTGGCCTTGACGGCAACCAGCAACAGAGTGAACACTCGTAAAACTACAGTGGCAAGCAGCTTGCTTCCTATAACTCCTTCCTCTCTCTTGCTTGGCAAAAAGCCACAACTTAAGTACTTGGCGTTAGAAAGACAATTTGCATAAATAGATTAAAGCTTTTAATTCTGGCCGGAAGTAGAAAATAAGAAGTGATAGTAAAGATTTAAAATAAAATAAACGTTAGTAAAACTTAAGATCCTTACAACGTAAGCCTGCCTAATAATTACAGCATGCAGTTCATAGGGATGTATTGGTTAACCCCTTCGCGCCGACTGTCACGTCTACGTGCCAGCAACAAACACACTCACTTCCCGGCCAACACGCAGGCGTGCCAGAGCATTTTCCCGTTCGCTACCGACTGTCACGTATTTGTGCCAGTGTCCTGGAAGGTTTTTCAAACTATAATTTCTGCCACAAGATGGCACTGTATGCCCATATGGTTTCAGATACATGTACATTAGACCTTCTACTCGATATGAGAGAAGCATTACTCACATACACATGTTTTTGATTATATAAACAAAAGGGGAAATAAATGTTTCCGAATGGCGTGATTTATGACGTCTCTTTAAATCGCACTTTATTCGCACATGGTAGTTGTTTATTTAACTAGAGAAGCTTTATTTGCACTAAAGCGTTGGGTATTTCAGTTTGCAGTTCAGTTTTTAGAAAATAATTAGATCTTGTTAGATGTGAATTCTTTCGTTTTTTACCGTTGTAATGTCGAAGCGTCAAAAATGTTTAACAGAGCATGAAATAGCGGAAATGATGCAAAATATTTCAGATATTGATTCTGAAATTCTGATATTGATTCTGAAATATTAACCGAAAGACATTTTCCAAAACTTTGTTCAGAAGAGACTGATAAGAAATGAGACGACGATGCTTCGTTTGTTCACATTCCCGGAAAAATCCTCCAAAACGGCAAATGAGTTATTACGAGTGCAAGGAATGTAACGTAGGACTGTGTGTAGATCCCTGTTTTGAAATTTTTAATACGAAAAGAGAATTTTAAATAATATATTTTGTTTTCAGATGTATAATGTTAAAAGTCATAAAATGGTGAGTAATGAAAATAAAATGTGCAAAATATGCATTTAAACAAGTAATAAGGTAATTAAAGTATATAGTATAAAAATATCTATAAAGCATAAGCCGTTTAAATACTCTATAGAGCATTATTAAACAATGTGTTGATACTTCGGAAATTTCATGGATTTAGGCTTAGTAGCAAAAAAGCCCCCGGCCCTGGGACAGACGCTCGCGTAAGACACTGCCGGCCTCCGCGATAAGCTTGCGTTTGCGCTACCTGGCTCGAAGGGGTTAAATTAAAGATAAATAACACAGATGTTTCAAATGAAGGAAAAATTAAATTTAAATTGTGCTAAATAAATGCATATTTTGAATAAACATACCTCTAAGTAAATGAATTGCACTTAATAGGTATGATGAATCTTTTTTAGATGCTTATTTATTTGAAGTCTTGGAATCGCACTTCACATAGTTGCCTCCTTTTATGTTTCATGTTGATTTTCCTTAATATGCTTGTTTTTTTATCACAGGGATAACGGAAACCTCAGCTTTTCATGAACAGAATGCTACACTTATATTATTCATATTTTAATTATATCTGAAAGTCTGTATATCAAATATCAGCTATTTGCAGCTGTAAAATTTTACCTTCAGTATATTGTTGCAAGGCAGATTAAAAAAAAAAGATTTCATTTTATAAATTGAATTTAGAGGGAACTCTGGCATTTTAAATTGATAGACCTTTGGCTCAGCCTTGAATCTCTCAATTTTTCAGTGTTTTTTTCTTTGACAGTAATTTACAAAGTAGCTGTAAGCTGATAGGTACTTTTCAAAAACAGTAGTTTCTGTTAGATCTTTTTTTTTTTCATAGTCTGAAACTCCAACAAAGAATAGGTTTCGCACAGTCCTTAAAAGTACGTAAAAGTCATTAGGTTACTTTGTAATGATTTTTGGTCTGTGAAAGTCCGTACTTTTGGCCAAAATTTGCAAATGGTCTATAATTTTGCTTTGTTGACATTTCCATCCCTTTTCTGCAACTGTCATTCGTAATGTGAATTAATATTTCTAGATGGTTATATAGAGTTCAATCTATGTGGCTGGCAATAGAGCCATTGCAGATTGTTATTGTAAGCAACAAGGCATAATCTGCAGCCATAGAATGAAAGTTTCAGTATGTGTGATTGGTTGTGCGCCCACTTCTCAAAGCAGATATTTTCAACAAGAATACTGTCTCTCTTTATTTAAAGATAGTTGTTGGACTTTGAGCTTACAACCATGCTTCGATCTACTGTGGTGAAAATTTGACCTTCAGAAAAGTTTAGAGTAAATTTCATGGAGGTAATGCTTCCACTCACCATCAGTCATCATCCATCAGTGAGTTCAGAAATTCTTTAGAGATGTTAACAAAAGACATGAATAGAACTCTTAAAAAGGTGAAGAATATTCTGAAAAATCTACAAGTATTAAAACAATTTAAATCTGGAGAGGGCAACCTATTTCTACAAAGAGTTGCCTTTGCTTCATCACTAGAAATAGTGGAAACCATATAGAACATGCCTTTTAAGAAGAAATGACCAGTCAAATTAAAAATAATACCCCCCTTTTCAAAAAAAGTGTTCAGAATATCTGAAAAAGTTTCAGGTTAAAAAGATAAATATATTGAGTGTGATGGATTTTTTTTGGTCTTTTAAAATATGATTGATTTAACATCTTTTTATAAACTAGCTTAATAAATTTTATGAGTTACTATCTGTTATTATAAATTGGGAAATTTCCTTAGACTGTGATTAAATAATTATACAAGTAATTAAAAAAATCAAAGCATTTTTTAGTAGTTATTATGTAAATCTTCTTTAAAATATGTTTGACAATTATAAGTGTCAAATATAAGTTTTTTGAAAAATTATGTTTGTATTTTAATGCTAACTACTTGAAAAGTTGTAGAGAGTTAGTTTTATTTTCAAACTGCTTTTATGTAAAATGACCAGATACTTGCAACTTGATGCATTCGTATAGGTTAGCCAAAATTCATCGATCATTTAATCATCTCATCTTTGATGTTTGATGACCTCATCTTTGATGACCATGCAGTGTTTGAATTACTATCGCAAGAAAGGATAAGTGCCGTCCCTCTGATGGAGATTCAAGGGTCTTTTACTATTCAGAAACTTCTTGAGAGAACTTTCAGCTCAATAGTATTTTAAGTGCCCGCATAGTACAAAGATACTAACAAACATCCATGCCATCTCCTAAATGCCCAAAACTACAGCATTCTGCACTCCTACTATTAAGCCATCACAGTGGTACTTTCAAGCTTATTTTTATAGTTATGTTAAATATTAGGTTGTGTTTAACAATATCCAGTCTATACTTATTTATTTATTTTAGTTCTTAAACCAGTACTGCAAGCGTGAAAGCAACTGCACATATAATTTCTCCAATTCTGTTTACTGAGAGGCCCTTAATTTTTTTTTATGGGTGGACCTTAAAATCCTTAATTTATCTTTTAAAGATCCTTTAAAGAAATGTGTATGAATCATGAAGACAACATTCTAAAACTATATGGACTGTGCATTGTTTTTAAAAAGTACTGGAATAATAGATGGGCCCAAAGCTCTGCTGTATACAGTTTGGTAACCATTATAGTATATTTTGAATTAATCAAGTTTCTTCAGCTCTAAAATGCCATTGATTATCAAGCACATTCTTTTAATTTCAATACCACTAGCAGAATATAAAACTTTGATTCTAGGCAAATAAACTAAATAAAACAAAACACATCTAGAAATTTTTTTTAACATTTTACTTCAGCTTATTGCAGTATATTTGTTTTAAGTTAGTGATTTGTAAAAGTTAATTATCTGAGAATTATCAGTGATTCAGTAATTAAGGGTTCAGTAAAGTAATTAGTAATTGCCTCAGAATAATCAGCAGTAATTACTGATCTGTGATTCTAAGGGGCATCCAATTTTTTAGTGTCTTTTATGTGGAAAACGAAATGTGCCTTAGAATTAAAGAAATATGTGTCACTTATTTTGCATTTAAAATATTAATAACTTTTACATTAATTTAATAAGCAACTTTTACATTTATTTAATAACTTCTACATTTATTATTACCATTACAGAGTAAGAATATACCTGTTTAGAAGTGAAAAAAATATGATCTTGAAACCAAAGCTTATCTATGCACTATTTTTAAAAGAGATTATTCTTAACTATGTCAAATGATAATTTATCGCCATATAATTCTTTTGGAATTTCAAGAAAATGAAAAGAAACCTAAAATATATAAATACGCTCTCTTTTTATCTGCAACTTTAAAAATTTTAAAAATAAAGTTATATTTTCTTTTAGTATGCACCTTTCAAACCAGGAAATAAGAAAACTTTGGCTGAAAGGTCAAAGAAGCTGGGTTTGGAACCTATAGCTCTGCAGATTCTTGAAATGAAGACTTCTCTTTCAAATGCTAAGTTATCATCTTTTGTTAAATCTCAGAAAGGTAAATGTTTAATTTGTATTTCATGTTCTTAATTTAAAGCTGTTTGGCTTAATTAATCTAAAGTCTTTCTGTGTAAATCTAAAGCATTTTTGTATGCATCTAGATTACTAAACTAAAAAATATACAATAAATTTCATAAACATGAATTCTATGTTTTAAATAACTTAATGCTATCGTTCATTTACATGGCATAAGAAAATGTCTTTTGGAAAAGCAAATAATTTAAACTGTTTTTTAACAAAAATGAATTTAGAACTGTTTGCTACAGTTGTTTACTGAATTTAAATGTATGAAATGAATTTAGTAAATGAAAAGAAAAATGAAATGAACGATAGCATTAATTGATTAAAACTTAGAATTCAGGTTTATGAAATGTATTGCATATTTTGTAGTCCCTTTGAAATGAAATATTAAAAGTGATTTTCAGCCTTTAAGTGTTACGTAATTTTTGAATAGAAATTTATTTTTTTGCATCTTAATTTTCCAGTTATATACAGTCAAAATTCGTTAATCCGGACTCGTTGGGACTTCGGCAATTCCGGA